TTTCACAAGGTACTGCACGCTGCCACCCTAAAGCAACAAAATTCACAGTGCAACGAACAGCTCAATTGTGTCGACCTCGCGACCTGATTTATTACAATAAAATAAACGTACCTTCTTTCCCACTGTCGATCCGGTAAGAAGCAGCGAAAACTTCAGGCCCCTAAGACTGCTTGAATTTTCTCCACAGCGGACTGCTGCTGAAAACATCAGCTTGGCGTAAAAACCAGGCTCATTCTGTCTATGAGATACCTAGCGTAAATGAGGGACTTCTCGTCGCCAGCCACAACAATAACAACAAAAATCACCTCCACCGAAAAAGACATGCAGATCAGAGAGCTTGTTATGTTGTGTACATGCGTGAGTTCAAAAAAATCCTTTTTCATTGAGATCACAAAAAAAACTTCACACTCGATCGCGCGAGCTCAGCACCAGCAGTGACGTTTGGGTGGAAATATTTTATTTGAAAAACTTTTGTCAGGCGCGATGTCGCTGATTGCTGGTGATGAGTTTGCTGTCGAAGGTCACTCCCAGAAGCTTCAGCTCGTCCCCACAGGGAATATCATGGGCTCCGAACGTTAGGTCTGGGAGTGGCCAGGGGTTGCGGTGGTGGCCAATATGCAGCAGCTGCGACTTTGTCGGCTCAAAGCGAATTCGCCATTGTTCTCCCCAGCTACTCAATCGATCCAGGCTAGATTGCATGTCTGCAATACTGCCAGCAGAGTCATGTCTGGATCGTATGATGGTGTACAGCGTGGTGTCATCTGCGTACACACCCATTCGTGTTGATGGGGAAAGACAGGTCTCAGCATCGTTGACATACATCAAGAATAAGGTGGGTCCCAGGATGCTGCCTTGGGGTACGCCAGCTTTAATCTGGAATTGAGCAGATTCCTGTCCATTGACGATTGCGCTTAGTGTGCGATTCCGCAAATAGTCCCGTAGCCACTGCAGCAGGCTACCGCCAATACCGAGAGTGGCCGCTTTGTGTAGGACGCCGGGGTGCGACACGCGGTCAAACGCACCAGCAATGTCGACAGCCAGGACGTGGGCACAGCCACCAGAACCAGCTGCCAGCGACCAATCATGCCCAAGCACTGCTAGTAGGTCCGCTGTTCCAAGGCCACTGCGAAATCCGTACTGCTTGGTTGACAAGAGATGATGTTTTTCAAGGTGATTCACAATTTGACAGTTCACAATACGCTCCATCACTTTGGAGATGATGGGGAGGAGGGAGACTGGGCGGTAATTCTTAGGGTTGGATAGGCTGCCCTTCTTGTAGACTGGCACAACTCGAGCACTCTTCCAGGCCTCTGGCTGGACACCCTTACGGAAGCACAGGGCGAAGAGAGACGTGAGAGGCGATGCAAGTTCATTGGAGCACTCTTTGAGCACTCGGGCAGGGATGTTGTCCGGACCGGACGCCTTGCCAACGTCGAGCTGGTTCAGGAGGCGTTTCACTGTTTGCAGGCGGAAGTGGATTCGGCTAAGTGGGGTGACCCCGGGTTGGCGAACATGAGGGAGATCCCCCGGGCCCAAGTCATCATCTCCAAGGCTACATTTATTGGCGAAGTAGCGACCAAGGCAGTTCGCTTTGGCAGCATTCATACGGAGTTGGTGACCAGCGTCATCTACCAAGCATGGTATAGACGAGCCATGACTGGCGCCAGCAGCAGATTTGAGCACCGACCACCATTGCTTGTCTTTCAGGCCTCCGCGTGACAGTTTCCGACGAACTCTCAGTTCCCAGGATGTGCGAGCTCGCACATTCGCGAGGATAGCATCTTCTACTGAGCGCATGAAGCAAGCCTTGTGGGCTTCGCTGAAAATATTGTGTCTCCAGGCCTTCCATGCCTTGTCTTTAGTGTTCAATGCTGTGGTGCACTCAGGAGTCCACCATTTGGGGTCTGCTGGGCGGGTAACGAGCTGCTTGGCGGGGATAAATTTCTGCATGCCACTGGAGATGACGTCACTTAGCTTCCTGCAGGACTCTTCAGGGTCGTCAGTCACAATGGTGGACCAGTCAGTAGTGCGATAGAAGGCCCGCAGGCGCCCCCAGTCTGCCTGATTGTAGCGCCAGACAGTCCTGGAGGTAGCTTGCTCAGCATCAGGGGTGAGGTAAAAGTCGACAAGAACAACCCCATGGTCAGAGCGACCAAGTGGCGCTTTGACAGTGGTGTCGATAGGAACGGGCATGTTGGAGAGGATGAGGTCCAGGGTGTTCAGACCCCTAGTCGGCTGCAAAACATGCTGGTGGAGTTGATGCTCAGCACACAATTCTTCTAAGGCCTCTCCAGCTACAGTTGTTTTGCTGCTGCAGAGCCAAGTCTCGTGATGGACATTAAAATCCCCAGCTAGCACTATGTGAGTGCCGTGAGTGCGGGCCACGTCTAGTGCAGGTCCAAGATACTCAATCAGACAGGTGTCGTTGTCCGCACAGGATCCAGGCCGATACAAGGCACCGATAACAACAGATTGTTGCGTGGAAAGACTCACGGCGAGCCAGAGGACTTCGTGGTCATCAGTGGGAATCTGGTCGAGGTGCACTACTGGGAGGCCGGACTTCACCCATACAGCAATGCCGCCACCAAATGCATCCCGGTCACGTCGGATGGGAGGCGAGTATCCTGGAAATATTGTCTCAGAGGCTACGGTCTGGGCCGAGAACTTCGTTTCTGTGATAACCGCTATGTCGACGTTATCGTTGAGCAGTGCATGCTGCAGCTCTCCCAGCTTGTTGGTGAGGCCAAATGCATTGGTCACCAGCCAGCGGAGCGGCGGAGCTCCACTGATCATTGCGGGGTGCAAGCAGATGTCGTGCTGTCGCTATCAGCGCTGTCAGCACCATCCAGTGTAGGGTCACCTCTCGCAGCGCCGGCAGGGTGTTGTCGATTGGGCTTCGGGCGGTCTCGGTACTCCCATGGCCGGGCGTATAGAGGCCTTGGCCAGAAGTCCGGAGTTGTCACGAGGCTCAGGTCTGTGGCATCTATACAAATCCTAGCTGACACCTTTCCCGTCTGCGTTGTGTGGATGCTGCTGTTGTGAACACTGGCCGTTGATCCCACTGCCTCAGCGCGCCGCTTCACGAAAGTTTTGATGCTCTCTTCAGAGCAGTTTGTACCTAGGTTGCCCACAAAGATTACTGTTTTCTTGGCCCTGGGGGGTTCCTGTGCAACTAATTGCCAGCTGTCGTCAGCAATGATGTCCAGGGTCTGGGGCTCGTTGTCGTCGTCCTCCAGCTCCAAGTTGCGCTGGCCAGCATGCTGCACGTCGCCCTCATCAGTCGTGGCCCGCGTGGCATCCTGGGACTGGTCCCGCGTGGCATCCTGGGCCTGGCCCTTGCGCGTACGGGTACGCCGTCGACTCTGCGGAGTACGAGTTCTCTGGGGTTCGTCAGCTGTGGCAGGCCGAGGAGAAGCAATGGCGGACTCCCTGAGGGCGACAACCTCCTCGTTCAGCCCTGCAATTTGCCTCGATAAGTCGTCAATTCTGTTATTCAGTCGTTCTTCGCGGTCTGCGGACTCCGTTACCAATGCTGCTAACGTCTTCATCACATCTACTACCGACGACTCGATCCCGGGGAGGGAGCACAACAGCTTTACCTCGGAATCCGCCAGTCCACGAACGGCAGATTTAGTTGGAGGCATGGCGGAGGTGACCCAACGCTATCAGATGCCTACCTAGTTTTCTACTACTACTACAAACTAATACCTAAATCCTAATATTTGAAACCAGGCCGGCCTGATGCCGGTGTTCCTGGCGAGAAACTGTGGGACCCTCAGAGCGCGAAAACCTGCACCCTGCTCCAAAGTTTGAAATTTTGCCTGGTTTCTCCCCGAATGTCCCGGTTTTTTGAACTTTTTTCGAAGGTATGTACGGTGCTCATTCGTACTTCGAACTGTGTACAGTCTTTGAAGACCTGACCGTGCAAGATCTGCACTGACAAAGTGACAGGCGGGCGCCGATTGATCAAACTGCACTACAGCCTAGGACAGGGTCGATCTGTGCTGTACGCACAGCTGCAGAGTCGAACGTTTTTTTGGCGGGAAAAGCTCTTTTTCACTTGTTTTTGTGCCATCCAGGGATTTTGAGAGAAATCCAGGGATTCTGCATGTCTTGTCAAGGGATTGAGATTGTGGTGGTTGGTCAGTATACCTCCCTACCCAATATCCCTTCGGTGCGTCCATGGAGCTATGAAGCCGAGACTTCTGGTCGGCGGAGCTTAATGGGCCCTACCACCACACTCCATTGTTCACCCCAGTGTCTGGAGATATGTGGATCTTGTAGAAAAAAAGAAAAAAAATACACCAGTCTACGAGATCTTCATGAGACTCAAGCCCAGGGCGGCGCTGATCTCAGTGACAATTATAGTCGAGTCAATTAGGACTATAATGGTATCCAGGTTTCTGTAGTGTAGTGGTTATCACGTGTGCTTCACACGCACAAGGTCCTCGGTTCGAACCCGAGCAGAAACACTTTTTGCCAATTATTTACGGAAGATTTTTCATGAACCATCTCCTCAACCTCCTCCACACTGACACAGTCGAACATCAAATGGGTGAAGCAGTAGGATCACTAGTACACTTGTATGGTCTTTTTTTGGCAATACAAAGTTACACACTGTGCTGTGTAACAAATCTAAAACTCTCCCGCAGTGACCACTGCAGTAGAGCTGTTGCACATATATCACATGACTTATCACATGACCTGTCACATGACCGTACCTGTAGCATTTTTCTGGCCACTCAGGACACGGAACATCTCTTCGCCCCATCGTGACAATCCATTCATAAATGATGGAAGTTTCATTTTTGGTATCTCACTATTTCGACTTCACAGCCTAGAGGTATGTTGAAACCACCTCTTGGGGCCATATAGTACGTCATGTATGAATAGGTTTTTTGAGCTAAATTTGAATTAAATTTGGTCTAAATAGAGTTTAGAAAACACCAATATTTCTGAATAGACCATAGTTAGTGCTCCGCGTGAGTAGTGTCGCTTACCTGCCATCCAGGTCTTTCTCTCGGATGCTAGCACCCTTGCCGAGCAGGAACTTGGCAATCTTGGCATTGTTGGTGTACGCTGCCCAGTGCAGTGGTGTGCGGCCCTCCTTGTCCGTCACGTGGATCTGTGCAGTGGCCGGAGAAACAGTGTGCACAAGATTTACGTCCAAATTTTTCACAGCAAACAGAAGTGAATAGGCAATCCCATGGAGTCGGTGCATTCCTGACAAGACGTGTACCACTGCTGATCGATCTTCAACACTTCTTTTGCATGCTCCTGAAAGTTTGTTCCGCAATCAGCAGTTGAAGGCTACGTGGCAGCAGGGCCCATTTCATTGTGCCTCACAGTCCAAAAACCTGGTCTGAGTTGCCTCCATGTTATACAAATGTCATCGATGTATGAGTCACTGGCGCACTGACAGTACATGATACTACACATTGTCTACAGTGTACTTTATTCCCGTAGCTATGCAGAAGACGTTACTTCAGTAACGTCTGGCGCTAGCCAGGGTCCACACAGCTTTAATTTGGTGTTTGTTTGTTTGTTTGTTTGTTTGTTTGTTTGTGTCACGCCTGGCGCTATCCCGTATCTGTACCGTACTGTACCGTACCAGCAAAGACAGCTGGCTACTATATGTTTGTTTGTTTGTGCCATCGACATGCCTGGCGCTATCCCCTACCTGTCCCGTACCATCAAGAGTACGGTACCATCAAGAGAATGAGTATATATGCGAAGTGTATCGGGGGAATGCATTCAGTGCAGTAACATTTTGTGTGGATTTGTGTGCGAGGCCGAGAACCCACTAGCAGGCTGGCTGGTCCGCCTGTCGACCAGCCCGGGGATCGCATGTAGGCTGATAGCATAATAATTATAACGTATCAGATTGAGTAATTATAACGTATATACAGTCATGTAGATCTATAGCAGGGAGTCATATTATGTAAACGACTCCCAGCTGTATGGGGAGATTTTCTGAAAAAAAATACGAAGTAGGGAGACGAGTGAATGCAATCAGAAAATCTTACCATACAGCAGGGAGTCATATTATGTAAACGACTCCCCGCTGTATGGGGAGATTTTCTGAAAAAAATACGAAGTAGGGAGACGAGTAAATGCAATCAGAATGGATGTTAGTTGCCGTCAGTATAATAATA